TGAAGTTGAAATCTTGAATTCGTAAGCCGTGTGTGGAGAACATGCATTCACGAAGGTAAGATTGTGAATTCACGAAATACATGAAGTTGAAATGTCCCCACCGTCTTTCGTAAATTATCTTCATATTTGACATAAAACATAATAGTTCATTTAAAATGAATAAATATTTGCACATGATTATGGGTTTGTGGTATCTCCAAAAATTCTACAATGTTATTAAATTAACCATTATATGCCTGAAATTGTGCAACTTTAGTAAATGAAATGATTTTCATTTTAGCTCTTTATAGCCGAGTCGTATAAAAAGGGTAATGAGAAGATTTTAATTATCAAAGACAAGACTACTGGCAAAATAGTCACGGAAATAGATGTCTTTGAAAATGAGGTAAGCAACTGTATATTGTTGGGGTTTGTTTTAATTTTCACAGATAAATTGAATGCATATTTTTCATATTTTACTTTATAAGACATTTGTATGCAATTGATAAGTAGAATCAAACTTTGAATAAGTCGCAACAAAATATCGCCGTTTATTGACACTCAAAATATCATTTTTGGTAAATATATGAACCGGTGTCAATAATACTTTGCACAACAAGAAAAACACTTACATCATTACACAACATTTGAGCCGCGTCGCGACAAAACCAACATAGTGGGTTTGCGACCAGCATGGATCCAGAGCAGCCTGCGCCTCCGCGCAGTCTGATCAGGATCCATGCTGTTCGCTTTCAGTTTCTCTACTTGTAACAGGGTTTGTAAGCGAAAAGCATGGATCCTGATCAGACTGCGCGGATGCGCAGGCTGGTCTGGATCCATGCTGGTCGCAAACGCATAACGTTGGTTTTGTCATGACGCGGCCCATTTGTTTATAATAATTTTGATGTTCTGTAGTATTATATATTTTAACTCATTTAATGTTATATATATTTAATGTAACAGTCGAGTCACATTGTATTGTAACGATACTTACGGTAATTAGTATTCCTTGCCTTAAACAGATAAAAATGATAATGAAAATAACTGTAAACATTCAATTACCTCAGGGATATCAACTTGGAAAACCTGTAGACGAAAATATCTGTCTCGTCTCACCATTTGTCGAAAAGGTAATATTTATATCTTATTAAATATTAGTAGTGCATTGCAGAATTAAATAGGCATGCGCTATATAATAAACAGTATGCTTTATATTTTTTAAAAATGTTTATCTTTTCCTCTAATAAATATTGTATTAAATGAGCAATCAAGTGGTATGTCTATCCTGTCTACTCATTAAGTGTAGGAAGTAATCAAATGCATGTAGATAATATGTATATTTTCTTAAATTTAAATTGTGCATTAAATGATTAATTTGGTCAAACGTATCATGTCGATATGGCAAATTCTGCATGGGAAGATTTTTAACATACATACATGAAAAGAATATATGTAAACAGAATAAAATGTTCCGGAATAAATTATTATTCTGCTACTTTATAAAGGTTTTCAACTTTTCGGCTACGATTTTATGCATGCGTAATTCGCTCAAAAGAAAATATACACTCATACGTGTACTTCCTTCATAAGCGTATTTTGTAGTTGTTCCTTTCGTAATTCAAACAAAACATTTTGTAAAACTTGAAAATATATCTTTTAAGATATTGATTTGGATATAATTAATTATGTATTTTTTAAATTGTACTAGATATATAATTATTATGATCAATGTTTTATATATCATGAACATTTATAAAACTTTCATATTAAGTTTGCTTAAGCAATTCTACTTCTTAACAGTTGTAATTTGATACAAATAGATATTTCTATGAGTTATTGTGGCACAAATATTTTAATGAAATTTTCATATAATATACACCATATTGACTATGACTTCATTTTAGAGGAAACGCTTTGTTTGACAAAATAAATTAAGAACGAAATTCTTTTCTAAAACTTAACTGTGATATCAAATCAGGCAGATGATCCTCCACATTGTTTCAAACGTATACCTGCTATTGACATGCAAGACGAAATACCAGCCGACCTTACAGAATGTAAAAACCGTGATATTGTCTTCGTAAAACCGACAGAATGTCTTAAGCCTGACATGGACGTGGAGAGTGAAGTAGAAAATGGTAAGATTATAAAATTCTAGTAAAGTGTTTATAATGTACATTTTTATTGTTGGTTATATACGCCCCGATGGAAAGATATGCAACCCGGCGAAAAGTTATTTGTATTTGTATTAGAAATTTATCGCTATACCAGATATAGCGTCATTGAATAAAGTTTGATACAAGATTATATTATCATAAAAAGGCAATGCAAGAGTAAATTGGTCTATAACTTAAATTTTACTGTAATGGATACTACAAGGTTAGCTTTTAAAAAAGCTAGTAGCGACTCGCTTCGTAATTTCTTTCCAGGGGCGTGTTTAAATGTAAAAATGACAGTTCTGTTAGCTAAAAAGACTTCAGCGAACATCAAAATAAAAGTGACATATAAAGTTAAGGAAGCCAGTTCTCTCAGTTTAACAAAGAGGAATATGAGTATATATGAAGATGTAAACAGATAGAATGAAGTCCTATGTCTATGCACATTTACTATATGCCTGTTGACCTTGACCAGAAAAAAAAAATAGATAAGTAGAATTCATAAAAATGTCTCTTTATAACGAAGTTAAGTTGTAATTATGTTATTTAGTATTGGAATAAGTGACAGATACAAGTCCTAAAGCAAACACAAGTTGTCTATCAATTCAGCCAGAAAAGCCGGGATCCTATTGAAAAAAATAGGACCCCCGGGGGAAATTGACCAGTTTCAAGAATATAGTTTTCAGAAAAGCCGGGATCGATCATATTAAAAAATTAAGAGATCCAAGGAATTGGACAGTTCAAGAATATTGTTTTCAGAAAAGCTGGGATCGTATATAGGGATCCCGGGGATTTGACCAATTCAAGAATATAGTCTTTGATTTTTCCAATTAATTAGGCATATAATTATAAGTATTGTGATTTGTTAATAAATAGCTCTTAAATATATCTATATCCTAAGTTAAATCAATTTAACTTTCATTACATACAATAAAAAAAAACTTAACGTTTAATGGCCTTTCATTACGACAATAATCAACACAAATATAGTTTATTAGTTTTTTTCCCTTATTTCATCGTATACGATCCCGGATCCCGGCCAGTAAATACATACACTAAATACCGGAAAGGATAAAATGACCGGAAAAAAGGAAAAAGAAAAAAATGCACAGAACCAGATGTCGTTTATGTTAATTAACCAAACGAAAACTTACTACAGAGTAAACAGGACTGGTGAAATCGCTAAATCAAAAAGTCAGTGTAAATATGATTTACTGAAAAGAATCCATGAAACAACATTTTAATCATCAATATATCTTTGCGCTCAAAACAATACTTGCTGCTTTTTAAAAATGGCGTGAAAATTGAAGGTTTTTTGACGCTATATAAGATCAAATTTGATTGGCTAAATAATTTTGGATCCTAGCCCTGATAGATAAATTTTGTAGAAAGCTGGAAGCTAAGCTTCGATTAAATTTTTGGATTGATTCGGAGTTTTAATTAGGTTGTTTCTCAGTAAAATCCTATCGTAATACCGGCTCGCCGTGGCGAGCCGGCACAAGAACGTATTATGATCGGCGCCCCCACACCTCGTGAGATCATAATCCAATAATATTCTCACCAGTCAAGTTCAAGATATTCCTATAATAGACCTAATTATAGAAATGTGCAATCGTTTATCGTTGAATATTGTAGGGTCAAAATGTGTTATAGAAAGAATTTCCAGTACTATCATGATTATTTTTCTTAAAAAAAAATACAAATATACAAAATTACTTTAGTACTATGATGATTTTTAAAATTCATTCCGTCCACTGACGTCATTTCGACATAATTTAAAGTTTCTTCCTATTTTCAGGAATCAGACAAAAAAGGGCCAGAAGGTGCACCATTGAGTTCTCATATTGTGCATTGTGGGGACTGAAATGTGTCAGACGTGGATGGTTAAATGCATGTGTAGAATTAAAGTCCCATTGTGTACGCCCAAGAGTCATTCGTGGTCCTGAATATAATTGCTAGTGCAACTGAATGATTCAAACTTTAACAACCATAGCTGACATCTTACAGAAACGCTTTAGCATGTACTTGACTGTATGGTTTATAATTTCGTTTTCGTTTATTGACATCATCTCAGTTTGCATACAATTGTCTGTTTAAGTCTAACGGATGCCGCATTTTTCAGTGTATGCTTTTTGTTTTCATTCCATATTTGTTAGAACGTTTATTCAATTACATATGCATAATCAAAATAGCTTCTGTTTTCAAATATGTTTTATCAAAAAAAGCAAAAGACACTGTTTTAAATATTATCTCTTTCAGAATCATTATTAGTGGCTATGTATCTGTCTATAAAGAATATTCAAAGAATTGTTTGTTATTGTTGTTTTTTCTTGTTCCTGTTTTTTTCTTGTTACTGCTAAGTTGATAAATAAATGTTATGCTTAAAACTCTACACGCTATAGGTGGGCACAGTATGAATAAATAGTGTCATTAAAAAAACTGACTGTCCTAATAAGAAAGTACCAACTTTGCTTGACATATAATAAGGAACGCTGTTTCCCATACATAGTTTATTCATTTTTTATTCATAGGCATATTCAGTAATAATTTTATAGATTTCAAAAAATTTCGATGATTAAAACATTTTACTCAATTTTACTCAAACAAGATGTAGAAATCGTTACAATAATTCCTTATGATTGTTTTTTGAATAAATGCCTTTATAATGTAATTAAGATGCTATTATGGTGATGCCTCAAAGGTGCATTATGCCTCTGAAACAGATATATTTTTATTTTGTTAGAACGGGCAAGTAAGAGTTTTATAAAGGTTACATAAACTTTTAGGAGCATGCTATATTTTTGTAATTTGTAAAAGGTAGGGCTAAAATTGGAATTATTTGTCATAAATACAAAATAGAATTTTGACTTTCATACATCAGCTCAATTACCAAAAAGCAGTCAATGGCTAAAGAATAACATTTTGGATCTTAAACTTGGTAAAATCAAAATCTGCTCAGAACATAAAATTATCTTGATGAAATTTGTTTTCTTGGGAGTAATTTTTTGTGGTCACTAAAGAAAATCAGTTTTCACACTTTCTCGCGCTTTAAAGGTTCATTTGGTACACGCTTTGCAACCCAACAGTTTAACCAACCTACTCTCTTTTTGTATATGATTATAAAATGGTGTTTGAACACTTAAAAGCATGTTTGCGACATTTAAACAAAAATATGCAAAAAAGTTAACATAACGTGCCAGACAGAGTTCACAAAAAATATATGTCAAATTCATGACCCTGTCCCTGGAAAAGCCGATGTCTGAATTGAAATCAACTGATATGTTACACGTATATGCAAAACTACAGTCTACACAACGATTCGAACAGTTGATGTGACAAATAAAATGACTAAAAATTGAAAAAAAATGTCAAACGTGTACGTCACATCGGTTAACTGTCACGAACTCCACGTTATGTGACAATTACACGTAATTGTGATTATGATTCTGGAAAAGTCAATAAATAAAGAAAACACAGGTCAAATAAATATTAATAACATTTCATACAGGTCTCTAACATAGTTTTAAAGCAGCATGCCACCAATTTTGCTAAATACAGAGTACAATTTTAGAGAGAATTTAAAATAATGAACTTATTTTAAACTTTAAGGAAAGCCTTCGTAAGATGAACATAAACAACTATGATCACCCTCATTAGTGTTACAATTCTGCAAAAAAAATCAAACTATATTCTTATTCTGTAAATCAGAATACATAACTTTATATATAATTATATATTTAACATTTTAACTAGCATGATAATTGAAAATACTTCACATTCAACGACTTCTATTGTGACGGTCATGGAATAGTGAAATACCAGGAGTTTCAATTGCAAACCATAACAAAGACGCACCATACGTTTTAAGAAAAAGAAATCCCTATAAGGTTAATCTGCTGTCTTTACATACCTTAAAATCAATGTTTTTTTTATATATCCCGATTCTTTGTAGCTTCAGTGTAGCTGGCAACACAAAAATCATGAACAGTCCAAAACATATATTTATTGTCATGTTAGGCATTTGGAAATGTTTTTCTATAAAAGGAGTGAGTTAACAATTAAGACTAAGAAAGTTATTATTTTGGTGGTGTTATATATGACTTTCTTCATATGTTCCTTTATCCACAATGTACCCTAACATAAAGTCACTTTCAAAAAACATAATGTGCAATATTCAGTTGGATTTTCCTATATTGTAATGAATTATTTTCACCATTTTCTCCTACCGTAAAAGCCTTTTGATGCCTGAGCTCCATGTATATCTGTAATGGCTTTCCTACTCAGTCATATGTCAAGCCTTTTTAACGGTAACACATTTTGGAACTTCCCCTAATCGATTTGCTATTTTTTCTGATGCCAAGTTAGTTTTCATTGCTTCATAGGTTATTAAAAAGGTGGGAGTGTACTATGATCAGTACGAACGCACTGCACCATTCCCCCACGGGAATAAGCCGTGGTTCATTCAACTTGGTAGGGACATCACCCATGGCCAGTGGATAACCCGTTTTGACTTTGAGGACGGTATACCTAAGGCAGGGGCACTGTTGGGACTTTTTTTGCCATTATCCTACATTTAGTGTGGATGTTGGTCATGACAAGTGCAAGACATTATTTGTTTTGGGGTATGATTTCAAATGCCAAGGTTTACTTGTTATGCTTTTAAGTGTACTTACAAGATCAAATCCACTTTTCCACATTGGGTGTTTAACAAATATGGATATTTCACAAATATATAAATGATATCTCGCTCTTCATTGTTTTGTATATTTGAACAAAATCCAACTAAACAACAGTATCACTATTTTAATTAGTTTAAGATTAATTCACATCTTTAATTTTTGCGCAAAAACATTAAGCCGTTAAAGTGAATATTGTGTTGCTTTTGTTGTGTTGTCCCCCGCCTTTCCGAAGAAAAAAGGGGGATATAGAAATAGGCTCCGTCCGTCTGTCTGTACGTCCGTCCGTCACACTTTCGTGTCCGGTCCACAACTTTGTCATTTATTGAAGGAATCTGAAATAACTTGGCACAAATGTTTGTTATAATAAGACGATGTGTCATGCGCAACAACCAGACTTCTACCTCCAGGGTCAAGGTCGCACTTGCTCATTCAATGTCAACATTTACTATTTGAGGGTATATGTCGTGTCCGATCTATAACTTTCTTATCTTTGAAAGGATTTTGTAAATACTTGCCACAATTGTTCACAACAATGAGATGATGTGTCATGCGCAACAATCAGTCACCAACCTCCAAGGTCAAGGTCACACTTTGGGGTCAAAGATTAACATAGTCTGTTATAGGGTATATTTTGTGTTCGGTCCATAACTTTTTCATATATCAAAGGATTTTGAAAATATTTGGCACAAATAGTCACTATAAAAAGACAATGTGTCATGCGAAACACCTACATCCCTACCTCCAAGGTCAAGGTCACATTTCGAGGTCAAAAATTAACATAGTCTGTTAAAGGGTATATATTGTGTCCAATGTAGAACTTCTTCATAGTGCAAGGGATTTTGAAATAACTTGGCATAAATAATGCCAATAATAAGACGATATGTCAAGTACAACACCTGCACCCCTACCTCCAAGGTCAAGGTCACACTTAGAGATCAAACGTTAACAGAGTCTGTTATATGGTATATGTTGTGTCCCGTCAATAACTTCTTCATAGATCAAGGGATTTTGAAAATTCTTGGCACAAATAGTCACAATGAAAAGATGATATGTCATGCGTAACACCAGTGTTCCTACCTCCAAGGTCAAGGTCACATGTAGAGGTCAAAGATTTACATAGTCTGTTATTGGGTATATTTTGTGTCCAGTCCATAACTTTTTCATAGATCAAGGGATTGCACAAATAATCACAATAATAAGACGATGTGTCAGGCGCAAAACATGGGTCCCTACCTCCAAGGTCACACTAAGAGGTCATACATTAACATAGTCTGTTAGAGGGTATATTTTGTGTCCCTTCTTTAACTTCTTCATAGTTCAAGGGATTTTGAAAATACTTGATACAAATAGTAACAATAATAAGACGATATGTCATGCACAACACCTGCACCTCTACCTCCAAGGTCAAGGTCACACTTAGAGGTCAAAGCTTAACATGATAGATTTTTAAATTCAGTGTTTCATTTTATTTCTTTTATAAATTTATTGTTGCATTTGCAGATCTAGCATTGATCATAATTTTTGACTGAAAGTCCTGAGATCCATACCTCAATCTTTTGAAATAGCACAATTTTTGCTTCATATAAAACTTCCCCGAGGCGGGGGACGTTGGTAACTCTGTTACAAATTCTTGTTTCATTTGTAGCCTATTTATTTGACATTAATTGTGATATTGTGTTTTTTGTTGTTGATTGGATAAAACACATGCAAGCACTCATTTTATTACCAAAATTACATAACACAATGAATACGTTAACATGGTCAGAGTGAATGTCAAAACAACTTTAATGAACCTTTATTTTAACATAATATTTCTTGTATTATGTAAATATACTCCTACAATCAAGTTACTCTTTAATTAATTCAAAATATGAAGGCCTTATGAGTTCAAACATTGTCATTGTTCTTGTTAATTTATTTTTTAAAATGTTTATGTCCTTTTCCTTGAGTTAATTTAACTAAAACTAGTCACACTGAATCAATTGTTGTTATAATCCTAATGTGGCGATCATTATTTCAGTGTTGTGAATCGTAATGTTTTTCTTCATGATGTACATGTACTGTATCCAAGCTACATGTAATGTATTTATCTAGAAGATACATGCTTACAATACTGTACATATAATTTATTGTACGAGTATACCCTTGTGTCACATATCTTCAATTAATCCAATACCAAATGATGGAATATCAATTACTAAAATTTTAAATAGAGAATAACAATACTATTGTCTTTTTGTTAGCAATTTTATCAGACAAAGCTGATATGGGTTTGTTTACGTCATATTTGATAAATTAAAAGCAGACATAAAAACAACAAATCTATTATTTTAAGGAATTTCTGTCTTGTTTGAATTTTTATTCTCTAGGGCAGTAAACCATGCAATAAAGAAGTTGTAACTTTTTCATTACGGGCATAATTTAACGATTTTTTGCATGTACTATTATTTTAACTTTATAAATTATGTGACCAAAAAAAAAAATACAAAAAAAGAAAAGAAAAAAGACAAAAAGAAAAGAAACAAGTTTGAAAACAACAAGTCATATTCGGTATCTTCAATCTACCACGGATATGAATTTCATACAGAGCGTGCAATATGTGTAACTTAAAAAGTCCTCTGGTCACTTCGTGC